TACAGTCTAGGAAAGTCCTCATCAGAGCTTCTTTACTCTTGCTCTGACACAACACCTTGAAGGTCAGTTGTTTAACTAGGAGTTTTAATTGCCTCATAGAGTCCTACTCCCTTGCTAGGCAGGGATTTATTAGCAGACTTGGGTGCAATTCTCTAATTCCAGCAAAAGCTAAGGTGGATTGTACCCAATGGGACTATGCCAGGACATGTTTCTTAGACACCCCTGAGGTTACCATGAAGAACTGCACTACTCTTAATTCTGACTCACTGATGCCTACCAGCCCAGAGGTTAGCCACTCTTCTGAACAGATCATTTCCCAGACCTATGCTAGCAGCCAGGGCATCAGTGACCTATCCTTCAAGTCCCTGAGGAGGTATGGTTCATTGAGCAAAGCAACTTTGTTCAAGAAGGACACTGAAAGGGAGGTTTTGCAATTATCAGTTCACAAAAGTTTATTAATGACTAACCCCTTCCCCAGGGACCTCTGTTCAAAGAGCAATAGCTATTACATGGGTATTAATATTAAAAAGGCAGAATTTTAAATATCTCTAAAAACTATAAATATACCTTTCTGGTGCTATGTGCTTCTGCAGCAATCTGGAAAGAAAAGGGTTGGCCAACTAATAAGGAAATTCTACAACTCCTAGAGAGAGTTCACCTTCCCAAGCAGATCACTGTCATTCATTGCAAAGGAAACAGAAAAGGCACCTCTAAAGTCTCTTAGGGAAATAAAAATGCTGGTAGAGGGGCAAGAAGGGCAGTATTACAGCCTCTCAAGAACTTAGCCTTCTTCTTAGTTCCTGAGCCACCATTAAAATGGTCTTTCCTCAAGTCATTCAATGGAAAACAGAACAGTTCCCAAAGCCCTGTGCATGGGCTTCTTGTGATAACTCAAGCAAGTTTTCAGTAGGGTGGCCTAGACCTGATATCAGCCTGATGAGTAGGAGATACGAAAAGAAGGTCTCCATTGAGCTTTCTGCTACTCTTCTTTCACAGTACTCCACTCAGACTGTAGAGTGCACTTCATTTCCCACTTTTACTTGAAACAAACTCACTCTTCAGAGCACATTTATTTTCCTAACTTTATTTTAAAGAAAAACAAATAACAACAAAGACAAAAACAAAACAAGCAAAAACAATAAAAACTATACAGGATTTCAAAATAAGATGATAGGAATTAACAGTGTTTGTTACATCACATATTGTTATCTTCAGTGAAGTTGCTCAGATTACAAGATGGAAAATTGTATGATTGATCAAACAATTGAAGAGAATAAAAAGTAATAAACAAAGCATTACAAACAATACAGAGCTTCACTAAACAAGATGGTAGCAATTCAGCAATGGTTGTTATATTGCATATTGTCATCTTCAAATTAGTTGTTCAGATTACCAGATAGAAACAGAAACAGAAAAGAAATATTTTCCTGACTTTAATAAATGTAAAACTTCACTACTTTTTGCAGTTATTTTGTCCAATTTTTGCCCAAGAAAAGAAAAACCTAGAAACAACCTCTAGGAGATTGCAGCACCCCCAAACCCAGTAACACACTGTAGCAGAAAATACATCTCCCAGTCAGTATACTTCAGTTTCTATTAGTTGTCCAGGTAGCAGTTCCTGTTACAGTTCTGGTTACTTTTGTTTCTTACGAAAGGCTAGTCACTGTGATGTATACCTGGTCACTCTGATGCACATCGTAGGAACTAATCAAAGACAGCCAAGTACTCTGCCTCTGTACTTCTTCCCCTTTGTATCCAGCCCCATAAAAACCTCCCACTTTGGGCCTTCAAGACATGATATTTTTGTAAAGATTGACTCTTTATCAGTGCCTGTCAATGAAAAACATATCTGCCTCCAAATCCTGGGTGTCATTTTGGAGTTCCTTTTTGCTGTTGCAACATGCAATACAAAATAGAAAGCTGATGCTATTTTTATCACTCAGGTTCTTTTCTATACTGAGCCAACCATATCCTAGACAGAACTAGATGGCAGGCACTACTCCATGTGATTGATGTTAAGAGATATTCAAAATACCCAATCCTACTCCTTCCTTAGCTTTCCACTACCAACTAAAAAGCATCAAAAGTTGTTGTTAGAGTATAAATGATGTCTGAGGTAGAGAACATAGCTCACAGTCCTCAGTTTCAACCATCTCTGTTCTTCCTTGAGGAGTATTCTGAGAAGGTGAGACAATGAACAGTTAAATTATGAGGGTGGGAAAGGAAGAAACAGAGTAGTTGTACAAAGAAAGAAAACACTAAAGTTAAGAATATTACTCCCAGATCTTTCTGCCTATGAGAGAAGACATATGCAGGGAAGCACAGAAAACTTGCAAACAACCTTCTAAAAATAAGATAAAGGAAATAAACAGCTATTATCTTACCCCCTTCATCACATTATGGAGATATTCAGGTATTAGACTAGAATTTAGGACATCTGGTTATCTTGTGTAATTCTGATCAAAACAGTGACTGCTTCTAGATGAGAGAGTTATAGAGTTAGGCTCTTTCTTCCTCTTTTTAATTAACAATGGAAGCCTCCATGTGTATGTTGTTGAGCAGCCACAAACTCTTTCTTGTCACCGTATCACGGCTTTGTGCCTTCTGGTCTTCTCAGTAATTCTTGGCCAGTCTTGATGCTTGTGTTCAGATCTAAATAGATTTAACCTGTCTTTGGGAATGATGATTACTTCTTTTATTTTTCTCATGTTTTATTAAGACATATGTGCTTTGCATGATATTTGCATTTAATTTATGGAATAGGTAAATGTACTTAACATTTCTTGATCCTTTTTATTTCCCTCCTGCTTCTAGATACTCATTTGCAGAAGACTGATTCTTAGACAAATATTTCTCATCATGGACTAAATTGAAATCAAATGGATCAAAGATGGAAATATTAAAAAAAATACTTAACTTAAAGATAAAATAGGTATAGTCAAGAACTTTCTGAGCAGAAACTCAGTTGGACAAGATATAACAGGAAGTCCACTAATGGGGTTATATAAAATTTTTTTCAACAAGCATTTTTTATTAACTTTGACAGGTTTAAAGAATAAAACATTCTATCTGTAATTGTGTGTATACATGAGTTGAAGGTAAGTATCATTTAAATCTTTCCCTGGGCAACACATTCAGAGGTTCTTAGGCACCATGAAATTGTCACCAATGAAAGTGGTTTATAAAGCTGTATCAAAAGAGGTGGTGCTTTTAACTAAATATGAGGTTAGAGTATTTTACTTGCTTTAATAACAGTTCAACCGTAATAGATTAGGATATGTTCAGGAGAAAGCAGCCTCAAGAAGGAAACATTAAAATGGCATAATAATATTACTGTGCATCAAATTAAGTATCAACATTTTTCTAAAACAATTTTAAAAAACCCAACTTCATGTCTCTAAATGAACCCAAGTTTCTACAACAAGAAAACGCACATCTCTTTCAGTATTAAAGGCTTACATATTCTTTTTTACCGTCAAATTTCTTGCCATGTTATTTCAATGGTTGTTTCAAAGCATGGTTGCCAATTGTTTGTCTTTTAATTGTGACAGAGCTAAGTCTTGAAATTATGTAGCTAACAGATCTAATAGTAATCTGCCAACAACATTAGAATGACATATACCAAGTATTAACTAAGAATCTTGCAGCACATTTGTCTTTGTAAGCGTCCTATAACTCAAGGGGTATTGAAAAATAAACCCCTTTTTATGTTACTTTTAATAAATATGACTAATCTACAAATCCATTCAGTCCTGCCAGAGTTGTAAACTTTGTAACAGTTCTCAATGAACAACTTCTGGAGCTCTGCACTGACTCAAAAGTAACCTGTTAATAGGTGCAATTAGCATAAACAATTGAATTCTGTGTTCCACACATTTAATAAAAATAAAGCACTACAATTAGTGCTGTGTCACTAAAATTATGAAGCTCTTTACGGAAGCTTTAAAAGCAAAACAAAGAATGAAGTAATTTTATTTAACATATATTAGCTGTCATAAAGCAAAATTTATGTATTTGCTTTTCCCATACTCCAATGTATTTCCACAAATCTTTGCATTTATACTTTTAATTTTTCATCCATCATGGAAACCAGCTATGTATTTCTTTATACAGATAACTAAAAATTTAAAAGAGACTGTAAACCAGGTACAATTGAGTCATAACAACATACAAATAATTAGCAAAGAAATTTTTAACCTTTATTGCTTAGTCGTATAAAATGGTAAATTTTAGCCAAACTGATATTTCTATAATTTTCATTCATGTGTTTTAAATCATATGCTTGGCAAGTAGTATAGGTATTGATTTATTTTTTAAATTAAGTTGTAGTAAAGTTCTAATTTGTTAGTCAACACATATTCCCTTTTACCTACTGGATTCTCAAAATTAATCCTCCTAGAAAAACTGTCCACATAGGAAAGACAATACAGATCTTCCTTAAAAACTTTCAAGTTTTGTACAACAAAAAAAATCCATGAAATATTTTATTAAAATTTGACATTATATGCTTTACCAATTATGGGACAAAAGTTCTTTAAAAAGTCCTACATTATAGTTTTGTGCTTAACAGTGAGTGTACTATACTGAGAAATCCTGCAATCATGTTTATGAGTTATTTTCTAGCTTCTTCAAGTATGGGACACAAATGTGGTTCTAACAGTGAGGAAAAATGACAAGTCAATCTTAAGATCTCAAAGGGAAAACAGAAAACAAAATGGTAACCCAACTTTGGATTTTAGAAACCTAATGTTTGCCTGTAATCTCAGCACTTGGGAGGCTGAGGCAGGAGGATCATTGTGAGTTTGAGACCAGCTTGGGCTACAAAGTGAGCTTAAGGGCAGTCTGAACTTCATAGTGAGACCCTGTCTCAAACAGACAAAAAACCAAAACAAAACAAAACAAAAAACCACCTAATGTTGACCCTGAAATGCCAGATTCACAAACAGCAAAAATAGATTACAGCAGCAAGCTACAACTTCACCAGGTATCATTAAGATTTCTGAAATAGGCAACAGGTTTTTGTTTTTCTTTTTCCACTCAATCTGTAGTATCTTCTTTTTGTTTTTCCTGTTTTTTGGTTGTAGGCAGTTCAAGGCTTGCCCACTGCATATGTTCAGCTTTTCTCATGGAGATCTCAGTCTTTGTAGAACATAGTTACATAACTTCACTTTATATCAATCACATCCCATAATTTCACGTTTTGATGAAATTCTTTCTCTCCTTCAAATACAATGTGCACATTTAATGCAGTACTGTTTGCTTCTACTCGACTGAGATCAGGAAGCGAATTCTTAACATGTACTGAAATGGTGACTTCACCCTCAGCCTGATGCCAGTCATGTCTACATGGAACGACTTTTTTCCCAACATCCTTTTTAGTCCACATGTGTTTCCCTGTTGTACAGCCTTCTTGGGCTAACAATGTATTAAAATCAGAGGTTTTTCTTCTGCAACAACTCCAAGATTTTATCCTCTCATGAAAAACAGGTACTCCAGAATGATATACACAGACTTCTTCTAGACTCTGTAGACCCTGATATGTCTTTGAACATCCTCCATTTTCACATGAGGTCCCAATCTTAATTTCATCACCATCTTCTACTTTATCTTCTTCATTTGCTGATGATAGTTTAAGTTGATCAAGTGCTTGTTTTGGAGAGGCAGATATTCTTAACTCCAAACTTGTCATTGGTTCATCTGGGCTTGGTCTTTTTATTGCTTCTACTGGTTTCGGTGCTTGAATGATATGTTCCTGAAACCTGGGTTTCAGTTCCCATAGTTCTTTCTTCTCAGTAGTCTTGACTTCTGGCTTGACTGTCTCAAGTGGTTTCTCACTATTATGCCTACCTTTTATACAACCTACAAGTCTTAAGAAGTCAGAAAAATCAGTTGTTCTTCTTTTACAGCAAGACCCATCCTTTAATGCATCATGAAAGACTGGAATGCCAGGGTGGTGTGTACAAGCATCTGTGTGCGAAGACAGGTATTTGAAAGCTCTACAAGATGTAAGAGATTTTTAAAGGCATCGATTTTGATCTCCTTCACAACGCTGAACTACAGTACTACCGTGCTGATGTTGGATGTGCCATTAAATGGTTCCCTTACAATTTCACAGGATTGCGTCGGAGTTGGTCTCGGGCTCAAAGTGCTGGCCACAGCCCAGGTTGTAGCACAGCAGCGCTATTTCCCTCTCCCACCAACGCAGACGGAGGCAGCAGCCTGGAACCTCAGGACTATGCGACCGCAACTGTTCTGCCGCAGTGGACCACTTGCATGGCCGGGACGGCTGCCCTCTTTCCTGGATTATATAAAATTTAAAAGTTTCTGTACAGTAAACAACCCATAGAATGAAGAGACCACCTACAGAATGGGAAAAAAGTTTTACCAGCTACATCTTGGATAAAGGACTAATATCTAGAATACATACACAGCTCAAAAAAATAAGACTCCCCCAGGTAAAACACCCAACTAAAAAAGGGCATCTGAAATGAATAGACACTTCCCAGAAGAAGAAATAGAAATGGCCAATAAATATATGAAAATAAGTTCAACTTCACTGTCCATTGCAGAAATGCAAATTGAAACAACAATGAGATTTCATCTTATTCCAGAAAGAATGCCAATCATTGAGAAATCAAAAATAATAACAAATGCTTCCATGGCTGTGGTGAAAAAGGAATGCTCCTACTTTGCAGGTGGGAATGCAAACTAGTGAAACCATTATGAAGATCAGCACAAAGATTTCTCAAAAAAAAAAAAAAACAAAAATAAGAAATTCCATTTGACCCAGGTATTTCCCTTGTAGGTATCTTCCCACATCATATTACAGTAATATATGCATACTAATATTTATAACACCACAATTCAAAACAGACAGGGACCATTTATACCACCATCCGAATCTTAAAATTTATTGCCAAACTGATTAGAATTTGAAATGGATTTTAGGCCGCCCTTTGACCCAGGAGGCCTAGTGGGCAGTGAGATGAGATCTCCAAAACCCCTATGCTTTGCCCTCACAATGTTCTATGCAACACACATAAATCTTCTTTGTATTAAGGCACATGAAAGAGTGATTTATTGAAGATGACAGGGAAGTTTTTATAGCGTGAATCAAATAGATAAGTCTTCAGTGTGGACAAAGTTGGCAGGGTAAGGAGTCTAAGTATTTATTCTCAGCCTCTGATCTAACTCCTTTCACTCTCCCATGGCCTGGATTCATGCCTTCTGGGAACATTATTATTTCAGCATACTCATTTTTAGAATTCACATGTCACCTCTTCAATAAAGAAAGCATGTGATTCTGAAGGAGGCGTGTGTAGGATGCTTACAAAAATTTTGCCTGAAGAAATCAAATGACAGGATAATTTGGCTTTTCTGTTAGATGCTTTGTTTCAGATGAAAGAATGATTCATCAGCCAATTATAGCCAGAAGAAATGAACACATGAGAGAGTTTACATGAGAATAGAACTTCAACCCACAATAGCTAGCTAATAGGTGGATACTTCGTGGCTGTCACAGATTGTTGTTAATCTGTGCCTCATCACCTATGTTCAGTGTAGAAATCTATAATGCACATAGAAGGATCACAGGGAAAGGAGCACAGAATTGCAGTAGGATTAAATTCTGGGGATGGTAGAAATCTGGAGAAGCCAATTTATGATTGTTACCTCTTCTTCTTGAGTTTTCCCTTAACAAGTATGTAGTGACCTTCTTTTTCTCATTTGAACAGTCTTGGCTTGAAGTTCCCATCTTCCACAAATTGACTAGCTACTCCTGCTCTTTTTCTGGCTTCCTGTCACATGGAGAACTGTTTTCCATCCTTTGACTTTAAGTCTATGAATTTTTGGGCTGGGGATTTAGTTCAGCGGCAAAGCACCTGCCTGGCAACCGCAAGGTCGTGAGTTCGGTTCCCAGTACCGGAGAAAAACCAAAAAAAAAAAAAAAAAAAAAAAAAAAAAAAAAAGAAGTCTATGAATTTTTTTGTTAAATGTGTTTCTTGTACATAGTTTATCATCAAATCTTCTTTTCATCCATTCTACCAGTCTATGTCTTTTGGTTGGTCAATTAAGATCTTTTACATTGGTGGTTATAACTGATATGTATTGGCTTGTTCTTGTCATTTTAATTTCCTGCTGATGATTCACTGTCTTTCTTCTCTGTTTAATTATTTGCCCTGCAGGGTGGCTTCTTCTCATTGGTACTCTTCAAATTGTAGTTTTTATTATCTCTTTCTAGAATACCTTTCAAAACCCTTTGTAGAATTGGGTTGACTGTCATGAATTTCTTCAGTTGTTCTTTGTCATGGTAGTTTTGTATTTCTCAATAATTCTGAAAGATAATTTTGCAGAATGCAACAATCTGGGTTGGAAGGTTTTTTCCTTCAGGAGTTGAAATATTTTGCTCCAAGTTCTCCTTGACCTAATGGTTTGTGTTGAGAAGTCTGCTGTGATTGTGATGGGCGTTCCCTTGTGAGTTATATGTTTCTTTTCTCTAACAGCTTTTAACATTTTGTTCTTGTGCTGAATTTCTGGAATCTTGATTATCTGCCTTAGTATAGATTCATTTTGGTCATGTCACTCACTTACCTGCATGTCAAATTCTTTTTCCATTCTCTGCTATTACTTTTGTGAATAAGTATTTTTATGTCCCTTGTGTGATTCCTAACAATTCAGTAACTATAATCAATCTTATATTGTTCTTCTTTGTATCATCTTGCAGTTGTTGGATTGTTTTCTCATGGTCCCTTGCTATTTTTAAGAGATCTTTCTTTTCATGATCACTAATCATGATCTTGTCTTTTATGTCTGATATTCTGTCTTCACATACTTTCATACTGTTTTGCAAACTTTCATTGGAATTTTAACTTCCTTGATATTTATTTCAGTCTGTTTCATGGAATCAATTTATTTCCTATATTGGACATTTATGTTTTCCATGATTTTTCTTTTTAATCTATGTCTACTCTAGATCTGCTGAGCAAGTCCTTCATTATGGTTGTTATTTATTTTTTTTAACCTATGAAATTATTTCTGCTCTAATTTCCTCTATAACCTCAGATATATAAATATAGAGCTATAGAAGTATAGAGATATAGATATTTGTATTTCTGCTGCTGTCATTTCAGGAGATTCATGGAAGTCAATTAGATGCCTTCTAGTTTCCTGTATCTCATTGTACCCTGACTGCACATCTGGGGTTGCATTTTGCTTCTGTGTCTTGTCATTTTCTACCTTTTAAATTTTTATGTGTTGTTTGTATTTTTCTTATGTTTGACAGTTTTATCATTGGTATTGTGGATCCTCTGGGAAATATCTATTCCTCTGAGATGTCTTCTAGGTGTAGCTGTGTATTGTTCTTTCTGTCTGTGCCAAGATCCTATCTTCCCACTTTATTAGGGATGAGGAGCTGCTATCTGTTTGGTTTAACACCCAGTCCTTTAGTACTGGACTATGGAGATGATTATGATTCCAGATTATCCCAGTGTTTTAATACAATGAACATCTTATTACAAGTATCACATTTTGGCTAATGTAGTACAATTAGCAGTAGTAATATCTACAAGCACAGCCTAGAAACTAACAATCTGTGGTAACTGCTAATTTGATATCTCTAACTCTAGGAGCAAGAACTATAGTTATATCACAACATCCAATGTAAACCAGGAACTTGTATAACATGTATTTCCCCTTTATAGAGTGATTTTATCTTGTGGAGAAGTGAAATTTAAGAGGACTAGAGGACAAAACAGAGCAATTACTGAAAAGAAATATATTGGAAATAAGGCTGAAGGACAAAGGATGATCACCCAAACTTTGGGGAGCTGGAAAAGAGGACAGGAGAGAAAGAGTGAAGGAGAGAAATCAAATGAATAGTGAGGTGAGTCCAAAATGGTAGAGGCAGTTTCGATTCACATGTAAATATCAGAAAATCCAGATAATTGAGGAAAGAGAGAGAAAGGACATAAAAAACAAACGAAACAATAAAATCAAAACCTAAAAGCCACCCCTCACGAAAAAACAAAAAAAAATTCCCTGGTGCCCCCAATTCTGTGTCAGTTCCCTAGACAAAGCTAGAATCTGCACTGAGTAATTCCTCCAAGTCTGCAGTAAATTTTCTGCTGGAGCGCAGGGCTGATCTTGGTCAGACCACTTACTCCTCTCACCACAGTTGCGGGGAGTGCCCTTGTCCATCACTAGGCCAAGGCCTTTTGTCTACTTGTGCCACTGGTCACAGAGAAGGGGGCTGCTTCCAGTCTTTTATAGTTAGATCTAAGACTGGCTTTTGGCAGCTGCCAGAACTTAGTCTGGGGGGTCCTGGATCTTACTTCTTGGTAGAATTCTCCTGAGTCTGCTGTCCAGCTGCAAGCTGTCTACTGTGACTGGACTACTCTTCCCTCTTTCCACTCTGGGATGTTGCAAGTGAAGTAACACGGGAGCTGTTCTGCTGCTGGAGCTCAAGCTCGAAGTTCTGTGAAATAAAATGGAAATCCTGCCCACCTAGTGCTGCTCTTCCACGTGATTGTGCATCAGGAGCTGCTTTAGTTTACTCACCAACCACTGACTCTGGGGGGCGGCACTCAAGAAAATGTATCAGGTTCGCACTGCTGTCACTTACTGTACAAGACTCCCTCAGTCCGGGTCAGGTCATAGTCTTCCAGTGGGGAACAAAGTTGCTTAGGTTCAATACCTGAGCGCTTTGAAATGGAGTGGTGATCCAGCCCGCCTCCTGCTATTCTGCCATGTGAGTGCGTGCCAGGCACCACCTCATTTCACTCAGCAACAGCTGATTCTGAAGGGGGGCTGAGAAACAGTGTCTCATGTTCTCATAGATGCCTCTGACTGTACAAGACTCTCCTGGTCAGGTCTCAGTCTCCCAGTGAGGAGTAAAGTTGCCTTTGCTGTCTCCCTGCCCACCAGGACAACTTCACAGTTATTTTCTCTGTGGTTGCTTTAGGTCTCAGGTCTGTAGCAGTGAGCTGTTTCTTCTATAGCAATGAATCCTTCTTTCTTCTTATCCACTGTCAGTTCCCTCATGGTTCTCATGTGCCCTGTACTCCCTTTGAAATCTCTCTGGGTTTTTGTTTTCCAGACTCTTGGCACTTTTTTCTGGAAAGGCTGAGTAGCTGATACTCAGCACTCCTCCATTTCACCCCCCAAGAAAAGAACATTAATCTTTGAAAATATTTGAAGTTTGCAAAATGTTAATAACCTAGGATATTGCATGCTAAAAATACTAACAGGCTATGACAAAATATTTCCTTGCTCTCTTATGCTCAGAACAGTAGTGCTGAATCAGTTACATGCTAATAGCATAGATGGACATTGATTACTGAGTGTGTGTGTTTGCGTTTGTGTGTGTGTGTGTGTGTGTGTGTGTGTTTTCCTAGGAACAAAAATCAGGAGATTCACACTGTGCTGATCCAAAGACATTTTTTTTTTTATCTGTTTGAGACAGTCTTCCTAAGTTTCCTAGTCTAAGTTCAACTTGGGAAGCTCCTGCCCTAGCTTCTCAGAGGGATGCACTTACAGGCCCATGCCCAGCTCTAAATTAATTTTAATTTTCATTCCGTGAATACAGTAACTAATCAACCATCATCCCCAAACCTTAAAAGTAAATACAGAAAAGCTAAACATAAAGTTAGCAGGATCATCCTTTCCAACTAAGAAGGGTACTGGTTATTTAAAAGCCATCACTTCCAATGGAACTAGCTAATTGAAATGTTGACTGGACATATTAACAATGCTGTTAGGACCACCATTGAGAAATTGGGAAAATCTATCTCCCTTCTGAACTTTTTCTCCCTTGGTGCTATCTTTTTCTCACACCCCTCCTCTGTACCATCTCCTGTAGCAAATTTCACTCTTAGTGTCTGTGCATAGTAGGCACATGTGCTGGTTGGTTGAATGAATGAATGAATGAATGAATGAATAAGAAATATTCAGGCACTAACAATTTAACAGAGAAGATGCTTTGGGAGAAATAATATTCCTCACTGTACCATGAAATATTGTCTTGGTTACTTTTCTCTTGTTGCTGGGACAAAATACCTGACTCCAAAAATTAAGGAAGGAAAGGTTTATTTTGCTTACAGTTTGTAGAGGTTTTAGTTCATACTTGGCAGGTTACAAGGCAGAGTGGCACATGGCACAGGGCTACAGCTCATGGCGGCAGAACACAGCAAAAGCAACAAGCACTAAAAGGGAGGAATGACTGCAAGCAGCCTCTTCCTCTCCCTTACATATGCAAACTATCCACCCCAGGGCAGGTGTAGCTCTCACACCCATAATCAATCAAACTCTAAAAGCCTGCCCCATGACCGCATGAGGCTTTGGGGGGACACCCAGACACAAACCATAACACATATTATATTGGATCCTCCCTCACCTTTTATTGTACAGTTCTGAACAGTGGAAGAGATCTAAGGAAATTTTAAGTCTCTTGATTTTGACTTTTAAGTTTCCTTTAGATTCATGAAGGAAAAGGGTACATTGTTATTCTTGGTTCTTGGGCCAAGTGCAAAATCCAAACTAATTTGAAAGAATGCTGACATGTTAGCCAATATTGACTCTTCTTCCTAGTTTCAAAATGTACTTCCATATGCACTCCATTATCCTAATTTATTGTCACACTGACCTGAATAATGATAGAGAATGACTTAGTTATTGCAAATTCATCCAAAAAATATATTAGTTACAACAGGAAGTGTAATTTACAAAATTTGAGGAGAAGTTACACCATGCCGGAATGTCTAAACCAATAAGAAAGAGGGAGAGAGACTCAAGTGACCTAGTAGGAAATTGAGGTCAGTGTCTCACTCAGTCTAATAGCCATAGTGTGAGAAATGGATCACACTGATAGATTTTCTTTTATTCGGAATTACATTTCAGGGTAGGCAGTTTGAAGATGAAATCCTTCAATGTAAGCCACCTTGAATTTAAATGCACAAACAATTCTCAAAATGGCCACTGCTTTCATTGCAGTAGTTAGAAGAAAGAATCTTTATATTTTGATGTTTGAGTTAAATATGGAATCCACCAAAAATTATACATCAGCAAAAGAAAAACTTGTATAAATATTTTAATACTGAATTTATTGAGACAATGAGATTATGCAAATTACCTTTCATATGTACAATTCAAAGTGGTGCTCTAAGTGGTAGCCATTAAATTCCAGACATGCATTCATATGGCAAGCTGAAGACATTTGCATACATTGGTGCTCTCTGTATTGGGTCAACCTCTGGCCAGATTAGGAAATGTTACATGGAGACCTCTTCCACTTCTATATACAAAGCATACTGACTTTCAGGGTAAAGCTTTAGCCATAGGCTATTGGCTAGATGATAACATTTAAATGGTCCCTTCTTTTAGTGAGAATCACTGATACCTCCAAAAGTGAAGAAAATTAATACTTTTTAAAAATTGTTTTAAATATTTATTTTTAAAATGTATTTTATGGGGTGCAGTTGGGTTAGTAAAACAAAGGTAGGGAATTAATAAGGATGGAGTGTAAAAACCTTTTCAGCCTTAGGTAAAACTGCCCCTTGTCCTGATTGCTACTTGTACCCTTTTACTTAGACAATTCTTGCTTTTTGTTATAAAGCTAGGAA